CAATCAAATTACATGATATGTCCTGGCGTACAATCGGTGCATAGAGAAAGCTGTATAAAAAGCACAGGTACATATGATCATAAGATCATGTAGTAATGTATTTTATATCATTACAACTGTACAAATAATTACTTAAATATGGTTTCTTGATCTCAAATTGTTTGCTTCAAAATACATACATTATGTAATTCCTTATTGTTCTGTACACTTAATAACTGAGTTAACTTGAAGATGGATGGCCTTCACCAGTAGTACCTTTTAATGAGTTTAATATTTGATATAAAGGACATGTTAGTAAAAAAAATGAAAATTCATCCTCAATCACATCTAATAAACAATGAGTACATAACCTCTGATATCTTTCAATGCTATTATAACACCCTGCCTCTATAGACAAGCAATGAGAGGACATTCGTAATTTTGATAATAAATTCTTGATTTTTTTGGTATGTATTTTCTTAGGTAAAATTGAAGACAAAAATTATCAACAATGTGTCTGTATATAATGCATTTTGGACTAGTATTAAAAAAAACTTAGCAAGTTTTGTTGGGTTTGATAAAAAATTCTTTGCCTTAACATGAATAATGCGGATTGTACATCAATACTATGCTGATTCATCCACAAGTTACCCAAACCTAGGGAAAACCATTTATGCTTGACAAAAGTTACCCAGCTATTTTTGTAACAACGATTAACATTTGACAAATGGAGCAGTTCCTGATATGATACCGGAAGTAAACAGTTAATTGTGATTAAAAACCTTAACCAGTATTTGAAAATACACAATAATACATGTACCATACTTTCAGGTGGATATCTACCAAGTTCAAAATACACAATGGTATTACATGTAGAGGTTTTCACTCCTAACAATCTCTTACAAAAATCCAAATGAACCTTTTCGATTACATTACATTTTCTGAAACCCCATATCTCAGATGCATAACATAAAATGCTGCTGACATAAGTGTCAAAAAGATTTAACATTGTTTTTACATTTAGACTTAAATCTTTACATTTAGAGTATAAAGCAAAGATAAATGTTCTGCCTTGACCAGATAATTAACTTTGGACAATACTTAAACTATTATTATATCTTAAATGCATACCTAGATAACAGAACTCATCCACAATTTCAATAGGAGTACCATCAAACATCCAGGTTTCAATATCTGAAATTCTGTAACCATTACGGAAAAACACAATTTTAGTTTTATCAGTGTTAACAGTTAATTTCCAATCTGATGAATATTTATGAAGGCTGTCAAGCATATTCTGGAGCCCTTCAACACTTTCTGAGAACAACACTAAATCATCAGCGTATAATAGTAAGAATAGAGTAAAGTTCACCAAAAGTATAGTTATCGGTATTATTATTAATAATAAATGACTCAAAATCATTAATAAAGAGGGAGAAACGTAGAGGAGAGAATTTTTCTCCATGTACTACTCCCATATTGTTTTGGGAAAAATCAGAACACATTCCTTTAACTGTAACAAGATTAGAAAATGTAATTAAACATTTTTACCAGAAGGGGAACCAAGATGTGTTTACATTCAATAGACAATCATTTAAAATACCATCCAGGCTTTGCCTCTATTTAACTTACGAATTGTTGTAAGAATTTCTTCCTTCGTTATGCTAGCTTCAAGCTCTTTATAGACAATATTATCTGAATTAGTACTACATGTATTTGTATCATCCTCATGTGATTGATCAGAATGATCAGAAACAGTATTAGTGTTGGGTGGGTTCGCTAAATCCTTAAAATGTTTATATAACTGATTTACTTTGTTATTACGTTTAGTAAACAGATTATACAAATATTTTGGGTTGTGCCTTGTTAAAATTGCAGCATATCACACTCTTCACTCAAATACTGTCTTTTATATTTAGATTCAACAGATTTATACCTTCTCTTGTTGATAATCAAATTACTATGATTAATTAAGCTTTTGTCATGATTAGAAATTCTCAGAGCTGACAAGCAAGCTTTACGTAAGTTTATGAGATGATCATTTAACCACGGTTTATGTTCAACAGAACCTAAAGTATGACTTGCAGAATTTGTCATACGAGTTGACTGACTAGTAGCATTACTTTTAAAAACACGAAAAATGGATCCGTCAGTGTTATTTATAGACTTCTGACTTATGTCACCATACAAACTTAAAGTATTGTTCAGCCTATCAATATAACTAATACAGATTAAATAGATTGGTTTTTATAATCATCATTCCATTCATATATTGGCCTGTCAGTACCGTTCAAAATTCTATCACAACCACCTGTGTCATTGGGAAGATTTCTTCTAATCTGAACATGTAGTGGGGCATGATCAGAAAAGTTAGTGAATTCGAAGTTACATACAACTGAGGTATACTACTGAAAAGACAGGTAAGATACTGTGGCTGTCTCTTTGTCAGGAAATGACAACCTCGGGCACAATTCTATTTCAAAACAGTGACTTTGACTCTATAGTAGTGTTTCACACTACCTAATTTGCTAATCCCTCAAATGGTTTACAAACTGGGTGTTACATACTAATTGATAACACACCCCAGCATCAATAAATGGGTCACTGATAGATCCTTTTGTACCTGTACGTTCAGTGGTCCATAATAGCCACAGGGCATAGGTGTTACAATTAAAGAACTAGAAGGTCAATTAGCAAATAAACTTTTGAAAATTTCAAAATAAATCGGGAAGGATTATGAGAAGGTTTAATCAAGAAAGCAATGTTTGTACTTGTTTGAAAACACACTCAAATATGTTCTTTAAAAAATGATCAAAGGACTCGGAGCAGTTATCGTTAATTTATCATTTTTTGAAAGAGAATAACATATAAAATATACATCACTATGGTATTCGTTATGCATAAATCATCTACTCTTTGGATATTTGATCTGACACAACATTAGGTGTTTATTTTGATTGGATAATACAGTGCACAATAAAAATGAGGACCGCTACGAGGATATAAAAGGACAAACAATAGAACTTGAGCAGATCCCAAGACAAAATCATAAACGTTCTCGAAAGGAAAAGAGGAAACAAAAACCAAAACAGGTTTCAACAGGTTATTCCAGGATGTAGGCGATTCATGTACCATATGTGTTATCAGTCACATACAGAAAAATATAATTTGGTCATAGACGCTGTACGATATTGGGAGGAAACCTCTAACCATTAAAGTCATGATGATCACTGCAACATGTTTCCAGCGTAGAATGGGGCCATCAGTGTAGAAAACCTTGGCCAAGTAGTATATCAGTCATCAGGACGCATATTCATTGAAATTCTTATGTTTAAAGTAGGTTCTGGAGTAATTAATAGCCTGTTATTGATGTGACCATTGTTGTTGTAACTAGACAAGACATGGATCCGAAGAATAGGAATCTGTGCTAATTCTATTTTAAAATCGAGCAAATCGGGTATCCTGGTTCTAAATGACAACTTCAACTACAGGTCATTAAACTAAAACAAAACCATCTTTCTTGTGTAAAGGCCAATTTCCTAGTTCGTACATATTATCTGGCACTGTTATAGACACTTTGTCTCTTATGCTGTATGTTTCGGAGCTTGTTTTACCTTTAGAACGCAAAAATGTTTATTTTTAGTTTGCTGTTTCATTGCTTCTTTTTCTGGTGATAATTACATTAGGTATGTGACTGGTTTGTTGAAAAAAAAATGTGGCAAAATGCATCGGGCGAAAACAAAGTCGCAGGTCCTGTTATCAATACACTCTTCAGATATCGTTATGACGTCACGTGCAGTGTAAACTAAAGCAGAAAACAATTCACACCAGCGTCAATGCATAAGGACCTAATCATCAAATTCGTACAGGGAGTTATACTCAACAACAAGTGAGGAGTGGAGTAAAACCTTTTCCTTTGAGACAAAGTTGTTTCCAAATAATTAGCATTGCATGCATTTCAGTTTTTTTCTTCATACATGTTTACGGAACTCTTGAGTGTGGGGGTTTGTAGGATCGGTCAGTAGTGTTACGAAATACAAACATCACCAACAATAGTAGGTGTCGTAACTGCTTCCCATGTCGTAAGGCGAGGCTACGGAAGTAACTTCACAACAGCCGTGTGAACTTTACAACAGTACACACGTACGCCATACATTTAGATTAATGGGGTTTTTTTGCACACTGGTCATCGTACTGGTTGTCCTAACGACTTTTACGTCTGACGAGTCAGTTCGGCCGTGACATGTTTCATGTGTTCTTAGAACCCTATTTTAGAGTACAAGTTTAATTAATAACGCAATGACAACACCGCGCCTGGCTTCAAAATAAGCAAGCGTTTTAAGTTAAAGCGGAAGTGGGGCGGATACGTAGGATACATGTCACCCACATTTGACCTGCGCACTACAATCACCGGAAATTAGGCGACATCATCTCACGCCAGTCACACGATTCTCCTCCTACATATTGTATCATTCTTAAACGTGTTGTATGGAAACATTTACGATCAATCATAAATCAACGAACATTTTAGTACTGCTGCATGTGTCTTAGACCGTAAGCTAGTTTTTAATTTTTGAAGAATATCACAGGATTGAAGCTGGCCGTATTGTCACGCGACGCTAAGATTTTATACAGATCTAAATACACCAAGGCAGTAAGTTTCCATTTCTCCTCAATATAAATTCAATTTTACAGACAAACATGTTTTGTCGTTGAAGAACACGATTTTCACCAACTATGCATATAATTGCAGCTCATTTATTAAAAACATTTTTTGCACAATGTTGGTTGTTGATCGACCATAATCAAAATGTACCCTTGAACCACATACATCAAACGGGGTCTTCTTATTTGCCATAAATGAGTTTGGATCAAGAGTGTTTGCTCTACCTCGCCATGAGAAAGATAAGATTTTCCGTATTAACAACCAGCAATAGGTACTTATACTTCATTATAAACAGTGATGACAGATCGTGGCTTTTGTTTCACCCGGCTGGGCTTCCATGGCTCTTCCCATCCATAACCACACTTCCGGAGGAAGTCGGCAGACACCATTAAATACACGGCACAACTCTAACATAAATAAACAGTCCTCCTCGGCCTCCAACTACAACAGGACTAAGTGTAGGGTAAGTTTAGACTCACAGTCCAATGAAGACAGAGTGTTTATGTTTATATAAGCATTTACATAACTTTACATATTTGAAGTACAAATGTACTATACTGGCACGATTAATAACATGTATGAATGTATGAATATTAACAATGATAAACATTGTTTTTTTATGTTTATATGTTTCTATAACAAGCCACCGCCAGTGTCGGGTTGATCCGACACCAGTAAGTTAACTTGGAAACTAGGTTTACCGAATATTCACATTAAATATTAACAAATATGCCTTTGAAGAACACACGACAACCAGCTTTATACATTATTTCGATCTAAGAAATTGTGAATAGTACGGTAAAAGAATGTGACAATGTTATATCGTTAGATTATTTTTATCTGTCGTCGTTCACTCAAATGTTATTACATTAACCCATCTAGCAACATGTGGCTTTAATCAAGCATATTTCTTTATTATCATTGTGTTTATTACAAGGGCTTAGAAACATGTTTTAGTTTAAACAGGTGATCATATATGAGCAGTGTTATGTTACCTGCAATATGCAAAATGTTTCTAGGAAAAGGAGGAACCTGCCTGAACTGAATTATGGCTGTCATGCGGATGACGTTCATGTTGGTGTTGACCTTGGCCTTAGCTAGGACGTCACTGGCCTGTTTTTGTGTGTTAAGACACCCACAGGAAATGTTCTGTATAGCCGATTTCGGTACGTCTTCAATTCACACTGTGCCATAAAAATGATGCCATACTGTTATTGTTGAAGTACAATGTATAGATACATTTGAGAAATACCTAAGACGTAAGATCGACAAGACTCACAAAATTTCTCACATTGTTATCTATATGTAGCATTTTTATATTGTTTAAAGTACCCGAGTTGTCTATGTGCAAGATGTATCATAATTCAGAGATTACATCGTCAGTGTATAATGCTATTGAGTGAAAGTCAGTACCGACAGTGCATGTATAATTGTTTCCATTGTAATATACAGAGACGTTCTCAGAACATACCGGTACCCTTTGACAAGTATAAGAGCTATTACATCAATTCACTACTTGATATAAATTTTAATGGACTGTAATAAAAACTTCTTTTTATTTACGGAGCAGTTTTATATGTTATTTAACAATACACTTTCTTTATTTACAGTGGTGAGGTTAGAGGTCATTGACATGGAGGAAATATACAGCAATGATGTGCCAAACTATTCCTTTCCGATGGAGGTCAGGTATACGGTGGATATCAGCTATGTATTCAAGGTAGGAACACCACATTCCCTGTAACATATATGCCACAAAAGTCTTACACACAATCTGCAACGCTTACGTCATCGAATCGTACATATTCTACACACACAAACAGGTCGAAGGGATGTCACACATCTTTTCCATACACTGCAGGTCAAAAGGTCATACAAACAATCCGTAACACATAGGTCCTAGAAATGATACACAATTTTTAAAGCACACGTCATAGCGGTCAAAACATAATATTGGTAAGATAAAGGTCACAGAGGTCACACACAATATCCGAAACACAAAGGTAAAAAAGTGATGCATATATACCGTAACACAAAGGTCATAGAGGTCATACACATAAACCGTAGCACAAAGGTCATAGAGGTCATACACATAAACCGTAACACAAAGGTCATAGAGGTCATACACGCAAACCGTAACACAAAGGTCATAGAGGTCATAACAAACCGCGTTAACACAAAGGTCATAGAGGTCATACACACAAACCGTAACACAAAGGTCATAGAGGTCATACACACAAACCGTAACACAAAACTCAAAGAGGTCATACACACAAACCGTAACACAAGTCATACTTGTCATACTTATTAACTGTACTTCATACGTCATAGAGGTCACATACATTATTACATAGTCAGTATTATATACATCGAAATCATAAGTCGTATAGGTCGCTGCGCGTGTATAACACATACGTTATAACACGTCATTGAGAGTTTCTACTTTCTCGACAGGAATACGATTTCTAAAAGTGTTATACTTTGTAGGGTTCTGAGAAGTTTGACCAAGCCGACAAAGTATACTTGCTGACTGGGGGGTCAGACGGGACCTGTCGACAGGATCTGGTTGTCGGCGAACTATACGTCATCATGGGTCGGTATCAACTATGTACAAATACTGTTTTTAACTTCTGAATCTGATTGAAATATGCATTGTATAATCATTAGATATACGAAACGAGGAAACGTTTGGTTAACAAATTCATTAAATCGATGCAGAAAGCCTTACAAAATAAATATTTACTACTCGATACGGCCATTTCGTCCATTAAGAAGTATTTAGTGGTAATAAAGGTAAAGAAATGACAGTTTACGTTTTGAGTGTTCCGAAACAAAGCAGAAATTCAGCAAAAAGTAATTAGGTTTCTATAAAGCTCTTTATAATGTTTCAAAGTTACAACTTTTGACTACATCAGATGATTTCTTATTGAACTAATATATCCAAACCAAAATAAATATACGATAACTTAATCATATTGCATCAGGACCTATCAGTTTATACTAACAAACTGTTCAATTATACTGCTCTGTATATATCTATTTTTAATAATTGTGTATCTATCTATACAATCAAACCATTTTGTAAATACACCAACAATTTTCCATTGATATGTACATATAAACATATTGTTGTCCAAAGCTAATTTGACCATTTTTCATAATTCCCATATATCAATTATTCAAATACGGAGGGCAGCGTTATTCAGGTAAACTATAATTTGTTCTTCTTTGATTGTAAGAGGAGATTAATGTTTGTCTTTGTATTATATAGTTTCTTCCTTGTCCACAAAATGGAGAAACATACACATGTACCACAAATTATCTCCCTTGCAAACCACCTAACCTTTCTGATATTTCAGCATTTTTCGGTTATGTTTCCTTCGATACGTATGGTTGGTCCCTATACAAGATAATATGACCGGAAGTGTGCAATAATTACTTACCTATTGTGTGATATCAGTTGAGTGACACTGTTAAACTCTGATGTGACAGAACGAATTGTCAATGTGACCACCGATGTTATTTTTAGTACCATTGACTAATTGGACGGACACATTTCTTTGTCTGTACGGTCGTTATTACTTCTTTGTCCATATAGTAACATTGACTGATATATAAAATCATATGAGCTATGTTTTGTGAAACTCTGAAGGCTTAAAGTATATATATATGGCTTTTTTGTATTGTTAGGATATGTACATGACGGTCACATGTCTTTCGGCATGTGTGACTGGACAAGGAGACTGGGGGACCTGACCAGTCACCAGTACAGGGGGTTGCACTACAAGTACACCAGGGGCTGTGACTGCCAGGTAAACCACATTTAACAGATACGCGTAGGAGAGTAGGCTATAATAGACCCAATATCTCCGATTTTTTTTACAGTGATTATATATAACCTGTGCTTTTTCTGTCACATGGTCACGCTGTAATGCAGAATGATAACATCACCACATTAATTTTCTGTATTTAGAAATTCTTGTCCAAGGTGACAAGGTGACGTCACTTATGTCTGGTAAAACAAAATTACTGCTGAGTAGAAGTTCACAAAATGTACAGGTGAAGTTTATTTGGTAGAGCGTGTAATGAATAGAATCTCAAACTCTTTGTAATTCCATCCGATTTATGTCAAATTCTCAGAAACTTGTTTCTCAACTGAAGAAACGCATTTGGGGCCCTCTTTATCAGTAAATTAACCAGTATTTCACCGAAATATCTGTATTAAAATTTGTTTCATAAAATTAAAATCCAATTATAGTATCATCCCCGCAAAATAGGGACAAATTATAAGTACAGTGTTCCACGGTAATCCATGGGTTGTACGTGTTACATCATGCGATAACCATATATATGTATATTTAACTGTAAAATGATTAATACCTTATCTTATAGATACAAAGGTGTTTTGGACCCGAATGTAACGTTCGCAGTAACCGCAACGACACCTGTCAGTGGACGAACACAAACGAATGTGACCAGAACTACGGCTTCTGCGTTGAGGGTCCAGGGGGGAGCTGTGCATGGCGACAAAACAGGATGCGAAGTGGATGCTTGAACAGTCTATCCGACGCGTGATACACCGCATATGAAATACAACATGTATCGGCATCAATTACATAATTTAAAATAAATTATTGTATTTCAATTTTATGGATTTAGATGTTACATTTTTTTAGTTTAGCTATGAATACCAAAATAGACCTTGGAAGACCTGTGTAAAATGATAGTTTTCCATTGGTCATATATATTGTACATTGTTCTAGGCTTGGTAATAATAACCTGAATGAGTGAGTAAGGCCCCATTTATCAACCAATCTTCCAATCAATATATCTATCAATAAATGGTCACACATTTTGCCGAGCGTAAACATGAATTATCACGAATGTCCAGAGGTGATCTGTTGCAATGTCAATATCTAATTAAGTTAGTAATTAATGTGTTGCATACACAAATACACCACAGAAAGGTTTTACAAAACTGTATTTTGGAAAATAATCGCCCTTTGACGGTGAGATACATTTTCGCCAAATATTGAATTCGCACTTCACATTTGATTATTGTGCATATAATGATTTTTTTATAAATGTAAGCTGTAATGATATAGCCACTCTGATAACGGTGCGAGAAAAAGGCGAAATAGAGCGCAGCGAAAATTTCCCAACATACAGTAAGTCTTGAATTTCCACAAAGCTGAGTCGATTGGAAAAAGTATAATGACCAATCGAAGACGTCATGTAAGCAAATTACAAACGTGCATCAGGAACAGATCTCGCTGCAACTTGCCATAGTAAAGTCGAAAAGAAATGAAAAATTGTCAACCTCAAAGGGGAAATGCGAAAGATGGATGAATAGCTTGGAGTTGGCAGAATCATATTTAATTGACATTAATGAACATTTTACACGTACATTTGTATGATGGAAAATACGACCCTGAATATTCTTACCAACATCGACGTCGTGACTGGTTTATTGCATAAACAGCAGATAACACTCATCTGTAATGTTTTGCTTTTGAAATGGAAATGGTTTTTCATGCTGATTAAAAAATCTCAAATTTGACCTTGATATTAGTACTTTCTTCAACCCAATTATTTTAATGTGAATAATATGTCTAATAATATTAACCAATCACAAGCGATACCAGACTAAACGTTTGCCAATCCATTAATAACCCGTTTTCACGGATTGTAAGGATGTTTATCAGGAAGTCACATAATACAGCATACCTTATACATGGTGGAATACAATACAAGCTTTATTTGAAGAGACCGATACCATTGATTTCAAGCACCCAATTTTCTTTTTCGTTATGATAACCTGATTACATGTGACATAATACGATCATTACGCATTGTAAATAAGCCTTTTAATTTTGTTGTATTGGAATACACATAATAATTCGAACAACCAACTTTCTTAGTCGATATCTTGGTTCGTGTTTACAAATAAACCCACGGGTAATGTATCTATATCGTTGAAACATTATAGAATAACCTCATCCGGCAATTCTTGTTCTTGATCAAACTTTACTGATTGAACAGGTTTGTTGTAAATTCCATTTGTAATTTAAGCCAGTATAAATAAGTTAAGTTTTCACTAGGAACACAAAGAAGAAGACTACATGTAACTGGACTTCCAGTAGTCTTTATATCGTGATACTAATAATGAGAACTAGTTAGCAATTTTAAGTCTATTTTAAGTACATTTGGTAAGCAATGAGCACACATGATCATGTTTGTATTGTATCAAAAATTAAAAGTCAGTAAGTCGTTCATCTCAACGTATCTGTAGTTGCCACTGCTTTCTTTTTAAGGCGCTGAATAAACATGAAAGTGTCAACGGTTGTCTGTCTCTATTTGTTTAAGAAATCACACTCTTTGAGCTGCTGCTGATTAGGTTTGTCCTGTAGGGGTTGGGTTTTATTAGGTTTCACGTTCCATAAACAGCTAAGGTCATTTTGGGCGTATGTGTATGTGTTTTGGAGCCATTATGAGGTCAAAATTTGGGGAAAACCTATTGTAAAACTGTAGGGGGAGGGGAATGAAGTGAGCTCTGGGGAGCTGACTAGATAATACAGAGGATTGGAGAAATTCTATTAGGGAGGACTGAGGTGGAAGAGGACCAGAGTGGTTCTGTTGGTAAGGACTAGAGTGGAGCTGTGTGAGAGGACAGGTGTAGAGTTATGGGGGGAAGACAGGAGTGGGGCTGTAGGGGGATGACATGGGCGGAGCTGTGTGAGAGGGCAGGTGTGGGGCTGTAGGGGGAGGAAATTGGTTGGAGCTGTGGGGTGGACTGGAGTGGAGCGTTTTGAAAGGACTTGAGTTGGGCTGTGTGGGAGGACTGGAGTGGTTATGTGTGGGAGGACTGGAGTGGTTCTGTGTGGGATGACTGGGGTGGTTCTGTGTGGGAGGAATGGAGTGGAACTGTGGAAGAGAACAGGAAGTGTGAGAGGGCGGGTGTAGAGCTATGGGGAGGGGCAGGCGTGGGGTTGTAGGGGGAGGACTGGAGCGGAGCTGTGGAGGAGGATATGGGTGGAGCTGTGGGGGAGGACTGGAGTGGAGTTGTGAGAGAGGACTTGAGTGGAGTTGTGGGAGAGGATTGTGATGGGGCTGTGTGGGAGAGGATTGTGATGGGGCTGTGTGGGAGAGGATTGTGATGGGGCTGTGGGAGAGGATTGTGATGGGACTGTGTGGGAGAGGATTGTGATGGGGCTGTGTGGGAGAGGATTGTGATGGGGCTGTGTGGGAGAGGATTGTGATGGGGCTGTGTGGGAGAGGATTGTGATGGGGCTGTGTGGGAGAGGATTGTGATGGGGCTGTGTGGGAGAGGATTGTGATGGGGCTGTGTGGGAGAGGATTGTGATGGGGCTGTGTGGGAGAGGATTGTGATGGGGCTGTGTGGGAGAGGATTGTGATGGGGCTGTGTGGGAGAGGATTGTGATGGGGCTGTGTGGGAGAGGATTGTGATGGGGCTGTGTGGGAGAGGATTGTGATGGGGCTGTGTGGGAGAGGATTGTGATGGGGCTGTGTGGGAGAGGATTGTGATGGGGCTGTGTGGGAGAGGATTGTGATGGGGCTGTGTGGGAGAGGATTGTGATGGGGCTGTGTGGGAGAGGATTGTGATGGGGCTGTGTGGGAGAGGATTGTGATGGGGCTGTGTGGGAGAGGATTGTGATGGGGCTGTGTGGGAGAGGATTGTGATGGGGCTGTGTGGGAGAGGATTGTGATGGGGCTGTGTGGGAGAGGATTGTGATGGGGCTGTGTGGGAGAGGATTGTGATGGGGCTGTGTGGGAGAGGATTGTGATGGGGCTGTGTGGGAGAGGATTGTGATGGGGCTGTGTGGGAGAGGATTGTGATGGGGCTGTGTGGGAGAGGATTGTGATGGGGCTGTGTGGGAGAGGATTGTGATGGGGCTGTGTGGGAGAGGATTGTGATGGGGCTGTGTGGGAGAGGATTGTGATGGGGCTGTGTGGGAGAGGATTGTGATGGGGCTGTGTGGGAGAGGATTGTGATGGGGCTGTGTGGGAGAGGATTGTGATGGGGCTGTGTGGGAGAGGATTGTGATGGGGCTGTGTGGGAGAGGATTGTGATGGGGCTGTGTGGGAGAGGATTGTGATGGGGCTGTGTGGGAGAGGATTGTGATGGGGCTGTGTGGGAGAGGATTGTGATGGGGCTGTGTGGGAGAGGATTGTGATGGGGCTGTGTGGGAGAGGATTGTGATGGGGCTGTGTGGGAGAGGATTGTGATGGGGCTGTGTGGGAGAGGATTGTGATGGGGCTGTGTGGGAGAGGATTGTGATGGGGCTGTGTGGGAGAGGATTGTGATGGGGCTGTGTGGGAGAGGATTGTGATGGGGCTGTGTGGGAGAGGATTGTGATGGGGCTGTGTGGGAGAGGATTGTGATGGGGCTGTGTGGGAGAGGATTGTGATGGGGCTGTGTGGGAGAGGATTGTGATGGGGCTGTGTGGGAGAGGATTGTGATGGGGCTGTGTGGGAGAGGATTGTGATGGGGCTGTGTGGGAGAGGATTGTGATGGGGCTGTGTGGGAGAGGATTGTGATGGGGCTGTGTGGGAGAGGATTGTGATGGGGCTGTGTGGGAGAGGATTGTGATGGGGCTGTGTGGGAGAGGATTGTGATGGGGCTGTGTGGGAGAGGATTGTGATGGGGCTGTGTGGGAGAGGATTGTGATGGGGCTGTGTGGGAGAGGATTGTGATGGGGCTGTGTGGGAGAGGATTGTGATGGGGCTGTGTGGGAGAGGATTGTGATGGGGCTGTGTGGGAGAGGATTGTGATGGGGCTGTGTGGGAGAGGATTGTGATGGGGCTGTGTGGGAGAGGATTGTGATGGGGCTGTGTGGGAGAGGATTGTGATGGGGCTGTGTGGGAGAGGATTGTGATGGGGCTGTGTGGGAGAGGATTGTGATGGGGCTGTGTGGGAGAGGATTGTGATGGGGCTGTGTGGGAGAGGATTGTGATGGGGCTGTGTGGGAGAGGATTGTGATGGGGCTGTGTGGGAGAGGATTGTGATGGGGCTGTGTGGGAGAGGATTGTGATGGGGCTGTGTGGGAGAGGATTGTGATGGGGCTGTGTGGGAGAGGATTGTGATGGGGCTGTGTGGGAGAGGATTGTGATGGGGCTGTGTGGGAGAGGATTGTGATGGGGCTGTGTGGGAGAGGATTGTGATGGGGCTGTGTGGGAGAGGATTGTGATGGGGCTGTGTGGGAGAGGATTGTGATGGGGCTGTGTGGGAGAGGATTGTGATGGGGCTGTGTGGGAGAGGATTGTGATGGGGCTGTGTGGGAGAGGATTGTGATGGGGCTGTGTGGGAGAGGATTGTGATGGGGCTGTGTGGGAGAGGATTGTGATGGGGCTGTGTGGGAGAGGATTGTGATGGGGCTGTGTGGGAGAGGATTGTGATGGGGCTGTGTGGGAGAGGATTGTGATGGGGCTGTGTGGGAGAGGATTGTGATGGGGCTGTGTGGGAGAGGATTGTGATGGGGCTGTGTGGGAGAGGATTGTGATGGGGCTGTGTGGGAGAGGATTGTGATGGGGCTGTGTGGGAGAGGATTGTGATGGGGCTGTGTGGGAGAGGATTGTGATGGGGCTGTGTGGGAGAGGATTGTGATGGGGCTGTGTGGGAGAGGATTGTGATGGGGCTGTGTGGGAGAGGATTGTGATGGGGCTGTGTGGGAGAGGATTGTGATGGGGCTGTGTGGGAGAGGATTGTGATGGGGCTGTGTGGGAGAGGATTGTGATGGGGCTGTGTGGGAGAGGATTGTGATGGGGCTGTGTGGGAGAGGATTGTGATGGGGCTGTGTGGGAGAGGATTGTGATGGGGCTGTGTGGGAGAGGATTGTGATGGGGCTGTGTGGGAGAGGATTGTGATGGGGCTGTGTGGGAGAGGATTGTGATGGGGCTGTGTGGGAGAGGATTGTGATGGGGCTGTGTGGGAGAGGATTGTGATGGGGCTGTGTGGGAGAGGATTGTGATGGGGCTGTGTGGGAGAGGATTGTGATGGGGCTGTGTGGGAGAGGATTGTGATGGGGCTGTGTGGGAGAGGATTGTGATGGGGCTGTGTGGGAGAGGATTGTGATGGGGCTGTGTGGGAGAGGATTGTGATGGGGCTGTGTGGGAGAGGATTGTGATGGGGCTGTGTGGGAGAGGATTGTGATGGGGCTGTGTGGGAGAGGATTGTGATGGGGCTGTGTGGGAGAGGATTGTGATGGGGCTGTGTGGGAGAGGATTGTGATGGGGCTGTGTGGGAGAGGATTGTGATGGGGCTGTGTGGGAGAGGATTGTGATGGGGCTGTGTGGGAGAGGATTGTGATGGGGCTGTGTGGGAGAGGATTGTGATGGGGCTGTGTGGGAGAGGATTGTGATGGGGCTGTGTGGGAGAGGATTGTGATGGGGCTGTGTGGGAGAGGATTGTGATGGGGCTGTGTGGGAGAGGATTGTGATGGGGCTGTGTGGGAGAGGATTGTGATGGGGCTGTGTGGGAGAGGATTGTGATGGGGCTGTGTGGGAGAGGATTGTGATGGGGCTGTGTGGGAGAGGATTGTGATGGGGCTGTGTGGGAGAGGATTGTGATGGGGCTGTGTGGGAGAGGATTGTGATGGGGCTGTGTGGGAGAGGATTGTGATGGGGCTGTGTGGGAGAGGATTGTGATGGGGCTGTGTGGGAGAGGATTGTGATGGGGCTGTGTGGGAGAGGATTGTGATGGGGCTGTGTGGGAGAGGATTGTGATGGGGCTGTGTGGGAGAGGATTGTGATGGGGCTGTGTGGGAGAGGATTGTGATGGGGCTGTGTGGGAGAGGATTGTGATGGGGCTGTGTGGGAGAGGATTGTGATGGGGCTGTGTGGGAGAGGATTGTGATGGGGCTGTGTGGGAGAGGATTGTGATGGGGCTGTGTGGGAGAGGATTGTGATGGGGCTGTGTGGGAGAGGATTGTGATGGGGCTGTGGGAGAGGATTGTGATGGGGCTGTGTGGGAGAGGATTGTGATGGGGCTGTGTGGGAGAGGATTGTGATGGGGCTGTGTGGGAGAGGATTGTGATGGGGCTGTGGGAGAGGATTGTGATGGGGCTGTGTGGGATGACCGGAGTGGTTCGCTGGGGAAGAACTGGAATGGATCTGTGGAGGAGGACAGGAATGGAGATGTGAGAGGGGACTTGAGTTAAGTTTAAGGTTGGATCATTAGATGAGGGAAAGTGGTGATGAATTATATATCAGAGTTCAAATATAATTATGTGTATGCCAAAAGTTTCAATTGATTTTGTAGCTCTTAATAGCATAACAGACAAATGTAGGCATTTCATGGTCTAAAGTGAGAAAATTGATTGAATGTATTAACTTTGAATAAAACATCAAATCCACCAACGAATGGCCCCCTATCTTCAGCTGTTCGAACACTTTTAATTGTTTGAAGTACATGTTGTTCAACCAGTGACCTCGATGAATCTGTAATAGCAAATACCAATTAGGAGGCTAATTATCAACTATTACATTACTTTTCTTATATCAATGATATGAATATGGTGAATGATCAATAACCATATGACTACATGCTTTTGTTCCTTCTTGATCCTGCAAATGATCTGTGCCTTAATATTTATTCAATATTTTGAATTGAACAATTTATAAGGAGTCCGTTATGAAGATGAAGGTGAACAATTTTCCTGCTAACCCATAGCCACATACGTGCTAATATTTGTTTACATGTGACATAATACGATAATTACGCACTGCAATTAAGCCTTTTATTTGTGTTATATTGGAATACGCATAATAATTCGAACACCCAACTTTCTAAGTCGATATCTTGGTTCGTGTTTACACATAAACCCCCTGATAATGTATCTATATCGTTAATACATTATAGAATAACCTCATCCAGCAATTCTTGTTTCAAACACTATTTTTTATAACCTTTACTGATTGAACAGATTTGTTGTAAATTCCATTTGTAATGTAAGCCAGTATAAATAAGTTTAGTTTTCACTAGGAACACAAAGAAGAAAATACCAGTACTTTACTTTAGATGCACAATATAACTTCCAGTAGTCCTATAGATCTTTAAAATAATTACCAAAAACCATTGCTGGACAAAAAGACGTCTAGGATGGAATTATGACGTCATGTTACCATAGTTTATGGTACATGTGAAGTAAAACGCTAATTATAGTCCTTGCAAACTCGTACAGAAGGGCCAGTTCGACAATTTAGTTAAAATGAAAGTAATTTAAACTAAATTGAAAGTATTAAGAAAAGAACATTTCCAAAATGATAAGCAACTATCACACTTCGGATCCGTGACTACATGTAACTGGACTTCCGGCAGTCTTTATATCATGATACTAATAATGATAACTAGTGAGCAATTTCAAGTCTATTTTAAGTACATCTGGTAAGCAATGAGCACATATGACCATGTTTGCATCAGGGTGTTTCTAGAATGTTCTGACATGAGCATATATTGTATCAAAAAAATAACAGTTAGTCAGTCATCTCAACGTATTTGATGTTGCCATTGCTATCTTTATTAAGGCGCCGAGTAGACATGAACGTGTCAACGGTTGTCTATCTCTATTTGTTTAAAGATTGGGCTTGTGCAGTAGGGGTTTGGTTTTATTAGGTGTCACGTCCCATTAACAGCTACGGTCATTTCGTGCATGTGTGTATATGTTTTGGAGCCATAATGTTTGTGTATTTGCCTCCTTTGGAGCCAAAGGTTGGGGTAAAACCATTGTGGAACTGTAGGAAAGCTTGGGGAAGGGTTGGAATGGAGCTGTGGGGAGAGGACTAGATAATAGAGTGGAGCTATGGGAGAGGACTGGTATAGAGCTGTAGGGGAGGATTGGAGCGAAGCTATGGTAGAGGACTGGGGTAGAGCTGCGGGGGAGGATTGGAGCGAAGCTATGGTAGAGGACTGGTGTAGAGCTGTGGGGGAGGACTTGAGCGAACTGTGGGAGAGGACTGGCGTAGAAATGTTGGAAAGGACCGGAGCGAAGCTGTGGGGGAGGACTTGAGCGAACTGTGGGAGAGGACTGGCGTAGAAATGTTGGAAAGGACCGGAGCGAAGCTGTGGGGGAGGACTTGAGCGAACTGTGGGAGAGGACTGGCGTAGACCTATTTGGAAGGACACGAGCGGAACTGTGGGGGAGGAGCGGAGTGGTTCTATTTGGGAAGTGTGGGGAGGACTGGAGTGTAGCTGTGGTGAGGACTGAAGCAGAGCTGTGGGAGAGGACTGGCTTAGAGCAGTTGGGAAGGACTGGAGTGGAGCTGTGGGGGAAGGACCGGAGTGGTTCTATTTGGGAGGACTGGAGCGGAGCTGTGGGGAAGGACTGGAGTGTAGATGTGGTGAGGACTGAAGCAGAGCTGTCGGAGGGGACTGACTGGCGTAGAGCAGTTGGGCAGGACTGGAGCGGAGCTGAGGGGGAGGAGCGGAGTGGTTCTATTTGGGAGGACTTGAGCGGAGATGTGGGGGAAGACTGGAGTGTAGCTGTAGGGGAGGACTGGCGTGGTTTTGTAGGGGAGGACTAGAGAGGTTATGTTAGGGAGGACTGGAGTGAAGCTGTGGGGGGAGGACCGGAGTGGTTCTATTTGGGAGGACTTGAGCGGAGATGTGGGGGAAGACTGGAGTGTAGCTGTGGGGGAGAACTGGAGTGGTTTTGTTGGGGAGGATTGGAGTGGTTCTGTAGGGGAGGACTGGCGTGGTTTTGTAGGGGAGGACTAGAGAGGTTATGTTGGGGAGGACTGGAGTGAAGCTGTTGGGGGAGGACCGGAGTGGTTCTATTTGGGAGGACTGGAGTGGTTCTGTAGGGGAGGACTGGAGTGGTTATGTAGGGGAGGACTAGAGTGGTTCTGTAGGGGTGGATTAGAGTGGTTCTGTAGGGGAGGACTGGAGTGGTTCTGTAGGGGAGGACTAGAGTGGTTCTGTAGGGGAGGATTAGAGTGGTTCTGTAGGGGAGGACTAGAGTGGTTCTGTAGGGGTGGACTAGAGTGGTTCTGTAGGGGAGGACTGGAGTGGTTCTGTAGGGGAGGACTAGAGTGGTTCTGTAGGGGAGGATTAGAGTGGTTCTGTAGGGGAGGACTAGAGTGGTTCTGTAGGGGTGGATTAGAGTGGTTCTGTAGGGGAGGACTGGAGTGGTTCTGTAGGGGAGGACTAGAGTGGTTCTGTAGGGGAGGACTAGAGTGGTTCTGTAGGGGAGGACTAGAGTGGTTCTGTTGGGGAGGACTGGAGCGGAGCTCTGGGAGAGGAATTGAGTGGAGCTGTGGGAGAGGACTGAAGTGGAGTTGTAAGGGAGGATTGGAGTGGAGCTGTGAGAGTAGGACTTGCGTCGAGTTTGGGGCAGAACCGCTCGGTGGGGGATAGTGGTGTGATAAATCATATATCAGAGTTCAAATATATGTACATGCCAAGCGATTCAATCGATTGTGTTGCTTTTATTAGTATAACAGACAAATGTAGGCATTTCATGGTCCAAAGAGAGAAAATTGATTGAATTCATTACCTTTGAATACAACATCAAATCCACCAACAAATGGCCTCCTATCCTTATCTGTTTGAACACTTTTAGTTGTTTGTAGTACATGCTTTTTAACCAATGGCCTCGGTGTATCTGTAAAGGCAAATAACAATTAGGAAGGTAGTTATCAACTATTACAATACGTTTTCTCATATCCTCGATTTTAATATGATGAGAAATCAACAACCATATAACAACTTGCTTTTGATCCTACCCGATCCTGCAAATGGTCTGTGCCTTAATATTTATTCAGTATTTTGAATTAAACAATTGAAATGGAATCCGTTATCTGTTTTCGTTTGCATACGTTTTAAACATTATCACTAGAGACTAGCCTTCTTTATATAGTAGAGTGAGTGTTTACGACATTATCCTTATACATATGCACAATTCACAAAACAATAATACAGGTGTATTACAAGATGAAGGTGAACGATTTTCCTGATAACCCATAGCCACATCACGGTCAGTGCTAATATTTGCACATTACTTGAGCTGATGAAGAGAGACGAGACACGAACAATATAAGTGGCTGTGCAAACAATGACTAATTGAACACCTGTTTCAGAAACAAGAAACAAAATGTATCAGAAACAAGAGAAAAATATATTACAAAATCTTCATGCTCAACCCTGCTATGTAAAGTGATACCTAACAAATAACTAATATAGCTGAGTACTATACTGGTCCGCCATAATATATACTATAGCTTAATTGTACCTAACACGATATATAGTATAGCTTAATTGTACCTAACACGATATATAGTATAGCTTAATTGTACCTAACACGATATATACTATAACTTTATTGTACCTAACACGATATATACTAAAGCTTAATTGTACCTAACACGATATATACTAAAGCCTAATTGTACCTAACACGATATATACTATAACTCAATTGTACCTTACACGATATATATTATAGCTTTAATTGTACCTAACACGATATATACTATAGCTTAATTGTACCTAACATGATATAAACTATAGCTTAATTGTACCTAAAACGGTATATACTATAGCTTAATTGTACCTAACACGATATATACTATAGCTTTATTGTACCTGACGCAATATACATGTATGATATAGCCTAATTGTTCCGAACATGGTAAATTCTGCTGGTTAATTTACCAAACATGATGTATACTATAACCTCACACGATATACGCTATAGCTTATTTGTACCTTACACGATATATACTATAGCTTAATTGTACCTAACACGAGATATACTATAGCTAAATTGTACCTAACACGATATATACTATAGCTTAATTGTACCTAACATGATATAAACTATAGCTTAATTGTACCTAAAACGGTATATACTATAGCTTAATTGTACCTAACACGATATATACTATAGCTTAATTGTACCTGACGCAATATACATGCATGATATAGCCTAATTGTTCCGAACATGGTAAATTCTGCTGGTTAATTTACCAAACATGATGTATGCTATAACCTCACACGATATATTCGATAGCTTGAATTGTACCTCACGCGATATGTGATATAGCTTAATTGATTAATTAAATGATAAATACTACTTGTTATTGTATCTTACATGATGTATACGATAGCTTAATTGTTCCTAACATGATAAATACTGCTGGTCAATGGTACTCATTCTGCTATATACTGCTTGTTAATTGTAACTTATGTGACAAATACTACTAATAAATTGTAATTATCATGATATAAAATGTAGCTTAGTTGTACTCAATATTATATTTTCTTATCTTTTCGGGTTAATGATCAGTCACGATCTAAAGTATCACGTGAGCAATTGACCACACATACACGTGGTGTACACTAAGTCAGGCACACGTGATATATATATTACGTTAGTCATACACTTGTATAAACATATGTATAAGTCATAAACGTTGTTTACATTGCTATATAGACTTAGTGTATTGTAAGAATTTTGCATAGTTGGGTATTGAGCATTATATCCATAACGTCATCTCTTTTATTGACAACTTCATCTTTAAAATGGTACGCTGTATATACCAATTCAAACATTTCTCGTTCGTGTTTTCCGATATACGAATCTCTTCAGAAGCACCTTTTTATAACTTTAGAATATTTTGTATATCGATAGAAGCATCATCATCATCAAGTCTATGGTACAGTAATCCGTATGTGAAAATACTTCTTCACGACGACCGTTGTTTTAAAACTAGGGATGCACAATGTTTCACATTTTCAACTCTGAATTATGTTTATTTGCCCTTTTGACCTTGTGACCAATTTATCGAATTGTGAAAATTGGTGACAGTATTGTCCATTCAAAAATCGTTCAATGTCTATCTTATTGCACATATTCTATATAATAATTGAAACTATAGAACATGTTTAAATAGAAAAAAATCCCTTTAAAATGTGTCTCAGTACCAACAATTAAAATGTAGGTCACGTGATAGTTACACCTATTACACCTGAAATCCTATTAACATATTTAATTTGACTTTCCCATTATGACAAACCCTGGTGTCTAATAAATTGTGCCGTACAATGTTTTATCAATTACTCTATTATGTCTATAACGTAAAACAACATATTTATCGACTATTTGGCTCGGTGTTGTCTCGATATCCATTAGTGGTACAATAACATACTACTAACAATTAGGCGCTTTAGACTCCCGCTGACTGTAAGCATTATTTGTGTAAACATGACAAGACTACAACACTTCAGTAAGTGTGACTATTGTATTGTTTATCAGTCCGGTTGTTGGATGGTAGTGGGTACCGCACGTTAATGGATATGACACTGTACTATGGCCACTGTATAAGGCTAATGGTCCATATCACTATACTCGGACATATCAGTTCAACTTTTTGTTAGCAATAATTGACGGTTATTTCAACATAATGGAACCAAATGACAGCCTTTTTATAAGATAATTACCGAAGACGAATTGACTGACCTAATAAAGAGGAGTAATATTGTATTTGTAATTTGTAACTGACGTCATTCGGAAGAATGTGATTTGGAGAGTTCTAAAAACATTTAATAGGAATAAATGCAGTTATCTTTATTTTCGTTTTTGTCAGTAAATTAATACAATTTATATAAACATCACTACATCAATCAGATTTGTGTATTATGTTTCCTTTCCTAAACAGTGACCTCACAGCCTCTTTCCCTTCTGTATTTAAAATACCACAAAGGATTCTGTTTTCAAGTATCAGGATACCCTTAAGTAATGCGCTTTGTTGGCAAAAACAGTGTTTGGCAAATTTTCAACCGCATACATTTTTTTCCTATGATAAGTCAGTGTCTATCATTGTTGAAGCCTTTTTCACCATGCCTTACACCGTTGTAACAGACACACTGTCCTGGGTGTGATAGTTGGCATCATAGGTGTCCATCATATGGTATAAAATGTGTTCCCGTTTGGAGGACCGGGTGTCGCCATCAGTATTTTTCTTCTGCATTCCAAGAGTGTTTTCACCCTACAAGAGTGTTTTCTGTATATTGTATATCTGTTTTTCAATTGAAGTGTAAAGTTCCCTTTTTGCATTATGATTAAAGATGGCAAAATCATTAAATGCATCCGACAATATGTAAACAATTGGCTTATATAGATTATGGTATGTACTCAAGGGGTACATTGATCGATGCTCACTCTAGTGGGACACATGACCCGCATACTGTAGCTTATCACGTCACACAGTCACTAGACAATGTAGGAAACTAAGTTCGACAAAAACCTGGACATTGCAGGACACCAATGTGTATTTAAGTGGATATCCAGAAACATTTGTGTTTTAAGTATATTTTAATGGATACCTTGAAACTTTTAACCATTGTGTGTTGTCTTTTAACAGGTAAGAAATTATATTCAACATGTGTGCCTTTTCGTTTGACTTTTATGTACTTGTTATATACTGTATAACGAAATCAGGCTGCGATTTATGAGAGGTTATTTTTGATGGAGTACTTATAAGGTATTAAAACAGTATATTCTGATGTTACTAATTCCATTAATAATTTATATTTTGATAGGATTTTAGTTACCATCTATATTCACCTGTATTACTTTGAATGACTTAAAACTGACTTTACAAGGTCAATATAAGACACCTATTACTATGATTGACTTTTACCTGATATGATTTATGTTTATCCTTTAAATTGTATTTTTTTTTCAAATATAATTTACCACTTATGTCGTATGGTATTTTTACATCAAATTTTATTTCCCTTTTATGTCGTACCTGTGTAGTATTTATATGTATTTAATTTTAATAATCAATGACATCTAACTGTATTTTATACAAATAAAAGTGGGTTTTTTATCCTCAACACCGCACGGTATTTCTCTGTATGACTTCTATTTACATTAAGCTTTGTATGGTATTTCTGTTTTAAAGTTTTAATTACCACTAATATTGAACATTGATACTATATTAAGATACTATTTTCATCGTACGCTATTGCTATGGAAGTTTTAGAATTATTTTATAACGTCGTACGGTACTTATTTTTAATAAAAAAAATCTCATTTTGGTGGTATGGTATTTTTTTGTAAAAAATATATTTAATTTTTACGTCAGCAGGTGTCTAAATACAATTCATTATTTGACTTTTTTATAGAAGTGTTGATGTACGGGACTTTTATTTACAATTTCTAAGAAATTTGTTTGTCAAGATATGCATTTCTCTACGATACTTGTATTGTTTTACATTTGCAATACAATGTAACATGTACAACAATCCAATCTCATATTCAATTTTCCATGCTAACAAAAGCAGCCGTTCATGAGCAACTGTTGTCGTCTTCAGTGAATTTGTGTGACGTCAGGATGTCTTTCTAATATGTTTACGTAGCTGCATTATGCCAGTTCAAACAGCGACCATAGAGACTTTCGTTAAGCATCATTAACGACTGCGTGAGTCGCTCAATATTAATCTATGTTATAGAAACATACAAGTAATCCATTGAAGCTATGTAACATACAGAAGGTTGATTTGCGGACAAATGTTTATATGATCATACACCGTTCAAATAGCGGGTAGCTGCATTCTACTAGGGCTATC